CGAGCCGTCAAGGCCACCATGTAACATTTTGAATAATGATAGAAAGCTATATGATTACTTACATCCCAAAATGACACACATAAGTATATAGGCGGGCCAAAAAGACCCCATGATCACCTGCATATCAAAACAGAGGCCGACAAGTTCGTACAACACACCTATATACAGGACGTCTATCTACAAGCCTTTAAGAGTCCAATAACATCCCTAGGTAGGGACAGAGCCCCGCCATACCCATTTCATATACATAGGATCATATCTACTCAAAATGGCAACTCTGGAATAAGTGGAGTGCGCCAAACCACTGTTTAACTAGACAGCCTACTGGGGAGGTCCGTCTATCTGTCTGCCTGGCCCGCGGGCATGAAACACAGCGGCATCATCAAAGGAACATCAGTACGAATAATGTACCAAGTATATAAGGTAGATAAGAACATAATACATCAAGGTAAAAGAGAGTCAAGAAGGATCAACTTGTAACTCTGGATTGCCACTAAGTACCATGATATGCATAGCTATACCGTACGTGTATGTAACACCATCAAGATGCATATACCATATATACGTGCATATAGTGCCATCGGGCATCTGTGGGCATCATCATCATCATCATCATCATAATAATAATAATAATAACAACAACAACAACAACAACAACAATAATAATAATAATAATAATAATAATAATAATAATAATAATAATAATAATAATAATGATAATAATAATAATAACCAACTGGTCACAAGTGCTATGTGCTATACATATATGTGTATATAACGCTATCGAGGTATATCGATATGTATATACGCATGAAGACCATTAAGATACATTATGAGCATGTCGGAGTGACATAAGATCGTTACACCTCCGACTATTCTTATGTGTCTAACATGACATTATACTTCACATCATCAACCAAGGAGAACAAGACATAAGGTACTTATGAAACATAGATATGAAAAATGAGCATAAACATCTCTATTACTAAGAGTAGAGTCATCTTTGGAAAGGAATGTTTGGTTACGTTTCTGTTCTGGTCAACTTAGATCACGCCAAAAGAAGAGAGTTAACCTTAACATACCTTATACTGAACCACGACGTATCAAGCCGGAATCAGCCTCCTTCACGCCTAAGTCTACAACCAATAATAAGGGTACTAACATCAATTACGAGTAGTTCAACTATCTTCTATCGAGCGGGAAGCTCATTTTATATAAATTCTGACAGCATCTCCCATATTTTCCTTACTTTCCCAAGTCCATAGAAATAACAAGAACACATAAAACCTTCAACTATATACTTTCATCACCATAACACACCCAAACAACCCAACAACATAACACAACAATAGTCAATATCAAGTTTACAACTTCGAGTTGACATCTTGCATGTTTTTCAACACATCTTGCATGTTTTCAACCATCCAGCATATCAAGAACCTAAACTAACTCTTATACATGAAGAAAAAAGAATTCTTACCTTAAATCTCGAAAACCAGCTACAAATTAACTTAGAACAACTTCAAACAGTCCAGCAACTCAAAACTATATACGATTTCTGACCTTTATTTCACAAGTTCTCAACCAAATAATCTAGCTACAACTTGTATGAACTCAAATACATGTAGGAGAAGTATAATCTTAACTTAATCCATCAAAAACAAGCCTTGTCTTTTGCTGCCTCAACTTGAAATAATAACCAACATAAGCACAACGCGGTAGAACTACGTTCTACTAGCACCACAGGATTCACGACACTTGATTTATGTTGTTTACCTTTGGTTTTGCCCTTGGATCATGTAGGAACCCTTTAGAGATTATTTTGGGGTGTTTAGAATCTGCTGGAGTCAAAAATAAAATAAGAACAGGAAGCCACCGATTTATACATCAAAAGAAGTTTCCTACCGCCTATGTGGATCCCAAAAGGGGCTACTTGCGTAGTCTAGCAAAAATACGAACGTCTCTCTGCTCCGACGTTGTATTGATGAGCTGTTTAATGAGTTGGAAACTAGACTCGTAAACCTTAAATATGATGGGTGGATCACCCAAATTTCAGTAAAATTATCAACGTAACTTGCGATAACTTTTGCCGACTTTTATTTTACAACTTGCTTTACTTTAAACTTAACATACGAGTATTATATGGTTAAAGTACCTCATAACATAACCTTTTTATCATACTAAGTACTCCTAGTCTTACCCCAACAGTACCGGTTATTAGATCTTTGATTCGTTTGACCCCGAAACCTTATGGTACATAATACTTGTTTAAAGCCTTCCTTAACCTTATAGGGGTATCCTCACCTTTCAGAGCTTACGTTAGTTTACTCACAATGCAATCGACAAAAAGATATGAGGTGTAACAGGTAGCATAGGCAATCACCTGACTCTGGAGGGACGGATCCATGTCCAAGCGTAACATGAAAACTTATCGTGTCATAACATATCAATATCACCATAACTGCATGACATAAATCATCATGCCATAACAATATCAATTGCACGGACAACTCACATGATATAATCATCTCAACTCACGTGTTTTGAATAAGAGATAGGTATATATCCTGCACATGGATAAAGAAATAACCATGCGGAGATGGATGCATGTGTACAAAAGATGATCTCTATGCATGATATATGCGTATGTGCAACGTATAACTACAGCTCAAGCATGTAATCAATCATATAAATAGTCATCATGTCCAAATAAAATATCAAAAGCCTAGACTTGATCTCTAACATGAATAAGAAAGCTCAAATAGTCATAAAAACAATTTAAAGCATATCATAAGTAGAGCATTTATCAAATCAAGGTATAATTAAGCTTAAATCTATCCTAAGCATGGTATAACCTTAGTGCCCGCATATATGCTCGTTACCTCGCATATACGTCACCCCCAAACACATAGTATGTAGCATATAATTCTATTTTATAAAATATTCCCTCAAGTCGAGGTTAAGCAAGACACTTCCCTTCTCCGGACTAGTCTTCAACCCCAAATCACGCATTTTCCTTTGTTCTTGACCTCCAATTGCCCAAAACCTAGCTAAATATCATTCAAGAAAGTCAAAAAATGCTAAAAGAAGCAATCTCAATTAATAAAGTTTCGATCTTTGAAGAAGTCCCAAAAGGTCAACTCGGACTCACATGGTCAAAACCCGATCCAAGGTCAGATCCCATCGACCCATAATCCCATGAGTCCAAATATGTGATTAGTTTATAAATCCGAGTCCAAATCGATATTCAAAACCTCAAAATACACTCTCTTATGTTTCACGTCAAAAACTCATTTTCTACTCTTTAAATCCTTGATTTAAATGTAATAATCAATGAACAATCATGATATATAAGCAAAACCAAGTAAGAAACACTTGCCCTCAAGGTTTGACTGAAATCCCTCTCCAAAATCGCCTTGATCCATTCTCCAAAACTCATAAAATGGTAAAAATGAGCTCAAAATCTCAAATTTGGACGATTTATACCGCTGGACCAGTTTTCCCTTCGCGGTGGAAACCATCACCTTTGCGATTGTAACTCACAAAATGCACAGCTCCAATCCTTCTTTGCGATCGCGTGGCACCACACGCGATCGTGATGCGTAACCTCCAGCTCTTCTTCGCGATCACAATGCGTCTTCCACGACCGCGATTCACAATTCCTCGAATTCCACTTTACTCTTTGCAATCGTGACCCTAACCATTGCGATCGCGATTTGCACCTCTATTATAAAAATTTGCAGTTGTTAAGTGGCTAAAAATGTTCTGGAACTCACTCGAAGTTTTCGGGACCCCGTCCAATCATCCTAACTAGTCTGTATACTCTATATGAACTTGTCCAAAGTCTCAAAATACAAAACGAGATGCTAGAACTCAAAATGACTGGTTTGGTCATTACATGCTATACCCAAAGAAGATCCTAATGCTTTGAGTTCCCCAAAGCAGCTTAGTTTCTCTTTTCCAAACCAATCTCGCAAGATCTAATCAAAACAATAAATTAGATAGTAGAAATTAATCACCGAAATCTCATCTATCAAAACAATAAATTAGATAGTAGAAATTAATCACCGAAATCTCATCTTCGTTTCTACCCATTTACTGTTCATAGAAACCCTAGTTCTTGAGAATCATTCATGAACTAGTGATTTTTCCCATTCAAATAATGTTTATCAACTCGATATAGCCCCCAAATATCAACCTTATACTAGTATTTGAATGAGGGGTTGAAATATTATCTATTTGGGTCAAGAACACTAGATTTTGACTTTGTAGTGATCGTGAAGATTTGGGTGAAATCATAAGGATTTGATCCATGGATGATATCAGAACTAACATTAAATGGTGTTAGGTATCCATAATTGTAACTTAAATGCTTACTTTGGGGTGTATTAATGATGGAAAGCCCTTCTCTCTCTAGAACTAAACCCCAAACTTCAATGGTGGAGGGGACTGGATTTGCCAGAGCAACCGTGGAGGGGACTGGGTTTGCCAATAATGTGACATGGGCTGCCAATGGTGCCTCCAGCCCTCACTTTCCCAACCCCATTGAAATTGGCCACGGTTTGCCAACCGTTGGCCAGATAGACTGCTCCGCATTTACACAATCATCACTTCAATCGCAGCTCAACTAATGTGGACGGTGCTCAGCCGATAAACTACATTGAACTAGCAAGAAATTTCATAGTGACTATCATTTTCTGCATATCAACAGCCAAAAGCTACACAATTTTCATTTAATTTTGCTTCATGCTATCATGATATATTATTAAACTAACGACGCATAACAGATTCGAACAAATATCCAATAAATTGAATTATCGTGGTTGTGTTGTTACTTGCGGGTGTTGGGTTTGAAATCTCAAAATATAGAAATGAAAGAATTCTGTATCAAAAAGACAATAGAGTTAGAAGAATTTTGTTAACGGGGTGTGCCTTTAAGGAATGGAATTCTTAGACTAATTGAACAGTCACGAACAAAAAATATACAGAAAATGGACAANCTTAGACTAATTGAACAGTCATGAACAAAAAATATACAGAAAATGGACAAAGCAGATTATGTACATAATGTACAATGTACATATAGCAAAATACTTGGATCCTTTACATCGTTCTATATTTTCCTGATATTATTTTGATGAAGCAGATGAACAGAGCTCCGACCTCGCTCTTTAGCCTTGTCAATCGTAGATAGAAGTACCGCCAAAAAGTCTTCTGCTTGGTCATTTGATGCGAAAACCAAATTGGCCTGGAAAAGCGGAAGAGAAGTTCGAGGATTGTTGTTCCATCTCTTTCCCCTAGTTGCCCAGCTTCTTTTGTGCGAAATGTGATTCTGCCTTAGCAATGTATCTGAGCTACTTCCCACAATATGTACTTCATCATCGTCGTTATCAGCATGGATTACACTATCTATCCCGATTTCAGTTTCTACCAACCACTCTGGGTTAGCAGGCACTCCTTGACACTCGGGCTTCCCATATTTTACTATACTGGAGCAGGAGACAATTAATATAAGCCTCTCAGTGAGGACAACAAACTTCCCATCATGCCTAAGAGCTTTACACATTACCAACATTTCGTCTTTGAGCATAATATGGTCGTCAGCCTCTCTAAGAATAGATACTCCAATTGCTTCTTCCCAAGAGTAAGGCCGCAAAGGAAGTTCTCTAGTTAAATGCCTTGGCAATCGGACCCTAAAGCGATGAGATCCCCGATTATGGAGTTTGCTCCGATTTCTGATGCTTTGTGCAGTTTTGCCGGTGATATCAAGGATACTGGCTGCTGGTCTTGCCACAAGTCCTGTCACTCCAAGAGCTATGCCTGCAAGAAGAAATATGTTTTGAGGCTTGAAGCTGCGATAGTCTAAATTAGTACAGAATTCACTTCCCTGGAGGTTCAACTTCGCTGCAATACTGACCAGAAAAATAGCATGGATAAACTTGATACCTGAGAGGACTCCTGGAAGGCCATGTCTCTCTGCCCCTTTAATAGGTGATTGTAATAGACCTGTTAGACCCTGCAAATCAAGAATAGGTACCAACTGTGAAAAAGGGATGAATCAAAATTGCAGGACATTTAACTCCTAATACATCCTTCTTCATCGGTGACATCTTGTCACATGAGAAATAACGAGACTCGAAGAAGCTATTCTAAAGCCATGAAGAGTCAAAGGAAGCTAAAAGAGGAAGTGAAACAGACTGCTATGCCCATGGGAGCTAAGAATTGAAAATAACATACCTCTAAAAATTCATTTATCACCCCTTTGCTATGGGAGGATATTCCCTTTTGCTGCCTTTCCATACTTCTGACAGCCTGATCATCAAAAGTAAATGCCACAATACCCTACAAGATCAAATGAATGAACACGTGGTCAGATAATATAGAGTATGAAATGATGTTTGATACAAAAGTACCTTGTGTGCAGCTTTGCTGAATTGGGTGGCAGCATCACTTAAGGCATACACGGTGTTACTCAAAAGACTAGAGGTTCCTTCTGCCATGCCTTTAATAAATCCTGCACGAGTCTACAGAAAGAACTGGGCTTTATATCTAGTGGGAAGGCTCTGCAGAAAGAACTAAGCTTTATATCTAGTGGGAAGGATAAAAGATCAGGTAATGCAGAAAGTACCTGGAAAACACTTTGAACAGGAGCAGACAAGAAATCTTTAAGGCCAAGACCCATGCTCCTCGCAAACCCCATAGGATTGCCAATAACTCCTGCTGAACCAAATACCTGCAGCGAACAACGCTATTTCAATGCCCATGACCACTAAGAAGACTCTGAAGAAATGTACTTTGGACCTAATTCAACCCCAAAAACTTGCTAATAAGGGTGAGAATTGCCGGGACCATATAAGAAGACCAAGTCCACCTCCCACAACCGATGTGGGACAAATTAACACTCCCTCACAAGCCCGAGCGTGGACAACATAATATGGGGCCCCACCATCGGGTAAACCAAGAATTGGCATGGGTCTGACTCTAATGCCATGAGAAGAAATGGATCTTGGACCTAACTCAACCCCAAAAACTAGATCATCAGGCTGAGATTTCCCAAGATTTCCCAGGACGATATAAGGATACCAAGTCCACATCCCACAACCGATGTGGGATAACTCAAAGACTATTGCAAGAAACAAGTCATTCAGTTTACAAATGAATAACTATCAGATTGGCTAATAATTCATTGTTTGGCTCTTCAAATCATTTACCAATATAAGCAAATGGACACTTCCATGAGATCAACACCAAGAAACACATAACAGGGAAGGTTATTTCATGAACCATAACAAAAAGTATGACATTACTACAACACTTGTTCTTTAAAAAAGCAGCATCGGGTTGTTCCCTGGTCTAAGAGCAAGTACAATTTCATCCTCCCTCTGTCCCATTTTAGGCGATGGTGTTTGATTGGGCACGGAGTTTAAGAAAGAAAGTAGGATTTTTGAATTTATGGTCTATAACAAACCATAGACATTCGTGAGGTATATATCATCTCAGTAAGGGTAAAACTGAAAGTTTAAAGTTAAATTGCCTCCAAATAAAGAAATGTCATTATGTTTGGGAAAGACTTAAAAGGAAAATGTGCCACATAAAATGGGACAAAGCGAATACTATATTAAGCAGAGAAATGGATTGAAGCTCAGAAGCATTTTCACAAAGACTTATTACGGTTGAGCTTTTTAGAGCTATAGCCAAATGCTTTTTGGATAGTTGATTGTAATAAAATTACTATGATGTGAGGGTCTGGAATGCCGAAATAAAGTGAGAAATTTGCTAAAAGCCAGACGCCATCATTGGGTGTTACAGCGATGAAGATGAAAAAATGTGGACCAACAATGAGGTACTGGTACAATTTTCTTGACTAAAACTTCATAGAACTACCTGTACACTAACTGTGCAAAAAGATAATCAGCACACAGTATGCAATCTAGGTGGTACCTTGACATCAGGTATTTTAAAGTTGGATCGCTAATCGATCAGTCTATCCACAACATTCCGAGTTTCTTTTGGTCTACCCAATTCAAAATGTTTTAAGTTTGATACATAAGATAAGCCCTTTGCCCTTTCTCTTTTCCCTCCATTCCACACAGCTAACGGAATCCTAAAGCAGACCGAAAAATCTCTGACAGCAAAGACAGACAGAGCGTCAGCAACTTTTCCACCTCAAACCAGAAAACCAGTTGAAAATGGGTGGCAATATTTAGAATCTCTACTGAGAAACTTCGATTAATATTGGAATTACCTCTCTTTACACTCCCCTTCACATTAAACTACAAACTGAATATAATGAGAGTTCTTGAAGCTTGTAGTAATTTGAAGCTCACATTGATGCATGATCAGATATATAGTGCAAGCAAAGCCTACATTCAGCTCCTCAACATTGTACCGGGATCTGAAGTTCTGGTAGATTTTGATACAGAAGTCAGAACTGGGATGTTCTAGCCTCTGATTATTTGGAGATAAATTCATTCTCCATCTCCCCATCTACTGAAGGAGTACCAGAGTTTTTTAGTGGTTAACTACGGGAAGATAGTCAAGGTGTGTAGACATTTACCTTGTACATCTCATGAAGAAATTGTTGTGTGTAATGCTCGATGAGTATCTCTTGAACAGATTCCCAGCTAGCAAGCTGTTGTGAAAGGATTACTTGTTTAAGGTGAATTTGTGCTCCCTCGATATCAGCAAGTGCCATAAGACCCCTCTGCAAAAGTCAGTGTCATATGACTTGAGAAGCACACATATAAATGAAGTTGCTGAGCGAAATTATAAAACAGTATTGTTCTATGATGGTTTCTCAAGCTGACTGTTAGAATTAAAAATAAGTTAAAACATTTATGAAATCATCATATGTTCCAGCATCCATCATATAGCCTTACATGTATAAGATATTCTCCAGATGTAAGCACTCCATTTCGAAGCAACCAGGGACTGCTGGAGAAACTATAGAAGAAGTTCAATGTTATAAACATACAGTAAAGTCACATGAAAACACAATATGAATTTCAATTACCTTAAAGTCAACTTCAGCGGAGCCACATCAAACAACTCAACATAAATCTTCTTCTGCCTTTTGGCGAGAAGGTGAATCTGTTGCCATGGGGCTCNTATATATATATGATATGGGAAAAGGTTATGGCATTATATATGTACCACCACCTGATCAGCTGGTATATGTTGATGATTTGCCCACAGTGGCCGAAATGATATGATGGGAAGCCCTAAGAGGCTTGATGATGTTATGGACACATATACCTATGCATGCTATGACATTTATACGCATATGCATGACATTATATAGATGAAATGATTCACAGAGCTATGCAGACGTACATGTCGAGTCTTTTACCCCATGTTTCTCTCATGTCTATTATTTACTGATTCTCATTCCTTACATACTCGGTACATTATTTGTACTGACGTCCCTTTTGCCTGGGGACGCTGCGTTTCATGTCCGCAGGTCTCGATAGACAGGTTGAGAATCCTCCAAGTAGGCGATTAGCTTAGCAGAAGATATTGGTGCACTCCATTTGCTCCGGAGTTGCTTGTTTGGCCAGTATGATTTAGATGTGTATGATTTGGTATGGCGGGGCTCTGTCCCGACCTTTATAATATTTATGTACTCTTAGAGGCTTGTAGACATATGTCGTGTACGTGAAATATTGTACGGCCTTGTCAGCCTATGTTTTGAGTTTATAAATGATCATGTTGGCCTATTAGGCCCGTATGTCACGTGTATATGATGATGTAATAAGAAAGATATGTTATGTTGGTACTCGGTTGAGTAAGGTACCGGGTGCCCGTCGCGGCCCATCGGTTTGGGTCATGACACTCGATTATCCTCCTATCTAGGTTTAATCATCAATTCAATTAGCCTCTTCCGATTACTAAGAAGAATTAATGAATTCAACCAACAACATAGAATGCAAAAATCTCACAAGTTATGTCTCTCTCGATTACATGAACTAATGAATATAGATGCAACGATTAAAACATCCAAAACGATTCAATACATAAAACTAGAGTTATAATCCACAAACAAGTATCAAAACACCAAATCCATCAAACCCTTAAGAGAACTACTCCATAGATATGGAGTAATTCATCACTCCTATAAGGCATAAAATACATAATTAGTGCAAAATACTAGCGATTAAAGCTCAAACTCAATTAAAGTGCAGTAAATTGGAGTGCAATAAGCGACTAAAATACGAGATTGTAGTCTACCATCAATACCCCACACTTAAACCATTGCTCGTCCTCGAGCAATCAAACTATACTTTATAGAGACACGACCTTTTTAAACAACTCTCCTAACTCATTACACCAAGAATATTTAAAATAGACTAAGCACAATAGTGTAACATCCTTGCCTCAAGATTTGACTCACAAGGACCACATATTTTTTATAATCCGCTCACTTACTCTAACGCAGAGGTCAACGACATTACCTTTCCTTCGTGAATCAAGTGCCCTCACACAACAAAATAGAGTAGTTCCATATACAATAAAAGTTAGGAACAATTAGGAACTCAAGATAGAAAGAATTCACTCACTCTTAGAAACAACATTCATATGCCACAAAAGATGCACCATAGACTTGCCCCTAGTGTACTACTCTACTAATCTGAGCTCATTCAGTCAAGGATCAAGTAGGACTTTAACTGGTTGTAATGTAGGCTGCGGGACAGGTAGGATACATTTAGATATAAGAGTGACTACACCACCCTAAGCACTCTTAATACATATAATTTAACATTCAAGACCCCACACTTATGTCAAATCATAACTCGACCTTCACATCAATATATATCAACTTTTATTTCTTTAAGCATAATTACATCAAAGGTTACCACTTATCAAAGAATATTTTTCACAACAGTACAACTATTTTTTTTCTTTTCTTTTTCAATTCAAGTGGCTCTTACTTTTTTTTTCAATACAGTGCACCTTTGTCCTTATTTTCTTAGTTCCACTCAAAAGACAAACCAACCACACCATACTTCAACTTTTACAAAGTTTATAACAATTTCAAGTGCTCATAAGGGGTACAAGGTTCAAAAGATGGTCAATTCAAATAAATGGGTAAGGCTTGTAATGTGGTTGGTAAAGAAACAGGATTACAGACTCAAAGGAATTAACCAAGATATATTCAATTAGGTAGGTAAAAGCATATAACTGGCTCAATAAAGAAATGCCTATATTACTTCCAAGACCGAATACAACTATTATTTCGCTTTGCAAACACACGGGGCAAGTTCTAGACATCAAATGCAATGCACAGAATAACACTAAACCTCTCACACACATGGCACATAACTCACTCAGGATCAGACTATCAAGACACTCTAGTCAAAACAGTTAAGCAAAGTCAAGATTATATAGTTTAAGGTACTTATACAAGAGTCAAAAATTGAGCCTAAGCATCACATCTAAAGCACTCACTATTCTCAAGGTACAATAAAGTTAAGAGATATTGCTTCCAATTTAAATCATAGCACAAGATTTTCTACACCTAACAAAAATAAAAACTAACTGCACCCGGTTCAAACAAAACCCTTGGAAAAGAATTGCAGTACAAAGAAAAACCAAGGGAGAATTATTACACTACCTAACAAAAGAAAATCTTTGTCTTTTTCCTTCAACTTAAATCCCTCAATAAACCCGTCGAATGATATCCATCGTCGGGAAAAGTCGAAATTTTTTCAAATTTTTATGTTTTTTCCAAAAAAACAATTCTCTACTACTACAACTAACAAAAACAAAAACTAGAATTAACATACATACAACATACAAATATCCCCCACCACACACTTTAAGTTGTGGCATGTTACCATGACACACAATTAAAAAGCATAAGGTAGAGGAAACTTCCTTGAATCTCTAGTCGGGGTCTGAATCAAAGTCGGCTCCATTCCACGCACCCGAACTAGTGAACACATCCACGCAGACAACTTCTTCTCAGCCTTCTTGGGGTACACCCTACACTTATCTTTTTCACTAACAACAACCTTTTCTTTCATGCCCTGCACTTTTCACTCAAAACTTGCATCTAACTTCTCTTTTTTCAACCCCGTTTCTACATTCATCTCGAAAGTTATGGTCTCATCACCCACTCTAAGCATGAGTTTTCTATCATGTATGTCTAATATTGCTCTACCCATTGCTAAGAATGGTATTCCTAGGATTAAGGTGGCCTCCTTATTCTCCTCCATCTTCACCACTATAAAATCTACAGGAAATACAACTTATCCACCCAAATTAAGACATATTCCACTATCCCTTCGGGTATTATAGTTGTTTGATCTGCCAGCTGCAAGGATATTGGTGCACACCTTATCTCTCTGATCTCATTCTCCAGTTTTCTATAAACAGACAATAACATTAGATTAATCGAGGCAGCATAATCACATACAGATTTATCAAAGTTAAGAGTGCCTAAAGAGTAAGGTATCGTAAAACTCCCTGAATCTCCATACTTTTGTGGGAGTTTATTTTGCAATATTGCACTGCAATGCTCTGTGAGCTTGACCACTGAGGTTTCCTCTATCTTCCTATTTTTTGTAAGGATCTCCTTCAAGAACTTGGCATAAGCTGGCATTTGGGAGAGAACTTCTATGAATGGCAGATTTACATTAACCTGTCTCACCATATCTAGAAATTTCTCAAACTGCTTGTCCAGCTTTTCTCTATAGAGCTTTTGGGGAAAAGGTAGAGTATACATGTGCTTGCTCTCTTCATTAGATTCCTCCCTTCTCGAAGTTTCCTCCCTCTTCCTTTTCTATACTCCCTTCTTGCCTTTCTTCTTCTTCTTCTTCTTCTTCTTTTTCAGGTATCACCTCTTGTTGGATTGGAGTGGGATCTTTCAACACTTGTCCGCTTCTCAAGGTCACACTATTTACCGTTTCTTTGGGATTCTTTTCAGTCTTATCTGGCAGAGTACCTGGGATTCTCTCAGACAATATAGTTGTAATTTGTCCGACTTGTCTCTCTAAGTAACGCAAACTTCTCCCAAGTTCTTTGATAGCTGCACCATGAGTATCTTGCCTCTCATCCGTTTTGACAATGAATGACTTCATCAGATCCTCTAACCCAGATTGAATTGGCTGTTGAGGCTGAAACTGCGACCTCTGTTGATTTTGGAAGCTTGGGGCTCCCTATCCTTGAAATCTGGAGTTATTTTGTTGCCATGCATTTGCTGTACCCCCAGGTGAACTCCACGAAAAATCGGGGTGCTTCTGACCCATTGCATTGAAGTTATAATTACCCACAACATTAACTTCCTCAATTGAGGCTTGACACTCATGAGTAGGGTGTCCTCTTCCACATATGTCATATGCTGCATGAAGCTTACTTTGTAACGAAGCTATGGTCAGCTTCCTTATTTCTTTGGCCATGGCATCAAGTTGTACCTGTACAGATGTGCTAGCATCAACTTGGTGAACACCAGTTGATCTTCTTCTTTCAGCACTCTCAGAGGACCACTGATTTGCATCTTTAGATAACTCATCAAGAATAGTGACTATCTCCTCTGGTGTCTTCTTCATTATCGGGCCTCCAGCTGCATTACTCAATATTTTCCGTGAGGCTGGTGTCAATCCATCCCAAAAGTCCTGGAGTTGCATCCAGAGTTCAATTCCGCTATGTTGACACATTCACACTATCTCCTTAAACCTCTCCCAAGCTTCAAACACAGTTTCAGTCTCATTCTGGCAGAAGTTATGGATTTCTCTTCTAAACTTTCCAGTCTTAGCTGAGGAGAAATATTTAGCAAGAAATTTTCTGGTCGTCTCCTCCCATGTTCTAATTTATCCCTAGGGCAAACTTCGAAGCCAGTGCTTTGCATCATCTTTGAGTGTGAAGGGGAATACCCTTAGATAAACTGCATCTTATGACACACCATTGTATTGAAAGGTGTTCATAATCTCCTCGAAGTCCATCGGATGATTGTTTGGATCTTCGTTCATCTTTCCTCGGAAGACACAACTGTTTTGGAGGGTTTGGGGTAACCCTTTCTTTAACTCGAAATTATTGGCTGCAACTGGAGGTCGTCTCACACTTGATAAGCCTTGGTTGTAGACCGATCTAGCATAATAGCCAA